TATATTTGGGTGGAGAGGAGGGAATGAAGTTTAAATTCTTCATATGAATTGAAGAGAGCCAAGGATGAAAAATACAGCTTTGAGTAACCATATACCTGGGAGGACCCATCCAAGTGAGCTTCCTGTCAGGTATGACCTTGAGAGAGGAGTGAAAAAGCTTTGTTCCCCTAAGCAGTATAATCAATTAGGTAACCCTGGCTGAGGAATGGTGAGAGACCAAGGAAGATGTCCATAAAGCCAAACACTTATAAATACATTTTAGAATATTTTGGATTGAAATGTAAATAGTGTAAAATACTTTATGTGACTTTTCTTTTTTTTTTTAATATTAACATTCCACTTAAATCTGTAGGTATTTATGTGTCTAAAAGCAGGGTTGTTTTTTGGGAGACGAATAGAGAGAGATGTGATTGACTGTAATTGTAGCAGTAGTTTGTCCGTATCACTACTGGGAAAGTGCTAGAATGGGAGAGTAATGTGGAACACTGATTATACATTGCAGTATAAAGCATCTTCTAGCTTAAGATAACATTATTTTGCTATCACATAATTCCATGGGTCAAAAATTGAGGGTGAGTTTAGCCAGGACAGTGTCATGCTGGTCTCACATGAGATCACTCATATGATGTACTAGTTTCCTGCTGCCATATGAATGTATAGAAACTAGTGACTTAAAACAACAGAAATTTGTTGTCTCATAGTTTGGGTGACCAGAAATCTGAAATCAGGATGTCAGCAAGGCCATACTCTCTCTGAAAGCAGTACAGAAATCTTTCCTTGTTTCTTCCCAGCTTCTGCTGGTTCCTTGTTTCTAGGTTTATGGATATATCACTCCAGTCTCTACTTCTGTCTTCAAGTGGCTGTCTTCCCAGTATTTCTCTCTGTGTCTCTTCTCATTTGTGAGGAGGACACATTGGATTGGGACCAACTACAGTATAACCTCATGTTAACCTAGCTGATAACATCTTTAAAGATCCTATGTCCAAACAAAGTCACATTGATAGGTACTGAGAGTTAGAACTTCAACGTATCTCCTTCCAGGACCCAATTAAGTCTGTAACATATGGCCACAGCCATCTGACAGCTATAATATGTCTGGTCAATCTAAAACGACTCATTCACATGCCTGACAGTTGGAATTGGCTGGTCTTTTATAGACTTCCTGACTTCTTTACATGGTGGCCAGGTTATATAAACAGCAGAGAGAGGGGAAACCTAATGTGCAAGTGTTTTTCAAGCCTCTGTTTATATCACAGGAGCTCTGGTGGCATAGTGCCTAAGGCATTTGACTGCTAACCAGAAGGCTGGCAGTTTAAACCTACCAGCCACTCCTCAGAAGGAAGATTGGGCAATCTACTTCCGTAGAGATACTGCCTTGGAAACCCAAGGAGGAGTCGCTATGAGTCGAGATCGACTTGATGGCAGTGAGTTTGGGTTTGGTTTGGTTTACATCACACTTGCTATGCCCAACATCAAGTCATATGCCAAGACCAGAGCCATTGTGGGAGGTGACTCTACAAGGGAGGCACGATTCATTGGAGACCTAACAATAACTGTCCACCACAGGTGGGATTTGAAAGCCAGAGTAAATAGGTTCAACTTCAAGTGCCAGAGTCCTGCAGTTATCTTCCCAGAGACTTTGTCACATGGGGTGAAGCTCACACAGTGTTCCAGAATACCCCAACTCATAGAAATCATACCTATATTAATAAGGAGCTTTTGTTGTTGTTGTTGTTATTTGCCATAAGGAGCTAGGTTAACCAAAACTCATCTGATTCCTTTTATATTTAAGAGGAATAGAATTTCAAATGTGAATTCTTTTCAGATATTTATAGATCATCTGCTGCTCTCTTACTTAGGGAAGGAGATATGTTATTGGTTCTACATTCTGTGTTACTGGTTATTCCAGGTACTTCCACTGTCTGTGCCCAGATGCCCCAGAGAATCAGTCCTTCATAAATGGGCTGAGAAATTCAAAGACTAATGGAGGTTAACTAGGGTAGATGTCCCTATCTCACATTTAATAAAAATAGAGCTGAGTTATGCAAGTATGTAGATAAGCTAATCATCTGACCTAATCAGCAATGCAGATTTTAAAAAGCCTTTCTAATTACTTCCTTGGCTTGGCTGAAGGTATCAGTATAGAGTTTTCCCAGCATGATGGTAGCAGATGTATTTCATAATATTTATTGAAAATATTGGAAAGAAGTCCTCAATTATGATGTTCCTGAAAAGTGCATCAAAAAAGATACCATATTTAACATATTTTAAACTTTGATTAAGATATAAACATAACACATAATTTAAATGATCATGTAACAACTCTCACACTAATTATTTGGAATCTTTCATAGAGCTAGACTTAAATTTCAGAGCCAGATTGCTTATTGGTTAACTGCCTGAAACTTTCTTGAGTTATATTAATTTACCTCTGAGAGCTCAGGTTGTCTTGGATAAAATGAAATTACCAGAATAATCCTGTTCTCTTTTTTTTTTTTTTTTTTGGCTGTTTACTAATTTGGTGTCTTGGCATAGGGATTTTAGTGTCTGTGTTTCAACAACTTTAAATGTTAAGTTGTTGACAATTACAGGCGTATGTAGTGCTATACAATATGTGACTTGGAAGCCTGGATAGATTTAATACTCATTTTCTTGGCTGAATTTGAGTAGTTCTGAATGGCTGTGAAGTGAATCATTCTATAGCAGCAGAGCCTGAAAAGAAACTGCCTGTGAATTCCTGGCTGAGATGCCTGTGTCATCCCTGGGGCCTGTGCTAGTTGAGTGCTCGCTGTTCATCTTTACCTTCTGTGAGCTGCTCAGTTTCTTTTCCAGTACATTCCTTTTTCAATAAATTAGGCTAATAAGCCAGTTTATATTGCCTGTGACCAAAATAAGCCTTAAATGATACAATGCCTTCAGTACTTAGGTGGTCTCTGTTATCAGGTGATGGTGAAACTGGTTACTTCACCCTACAAAGAATTCCTCAAATATCCCTCTTCTGGAGAATCTCCTCTAAAGATCAAATGGACAAGAAACACAGTCTTTTTGTCCCACAGTTTGTGGCATATAGAACACATTAAAAAACGATCAGTGAATGTTACCACAGGAAGCCTGCCATTTGAGGACTGAATCCTATGCTTGAGGAAGTGGTGAGTGTAGAGTCACATGGAAGTAAATGTTTTTCCTTGATGACAAGAAAATATAAACAATCTGATGTATGATTTAATTTCTTTGTTAGTGACTTTGAAACTAGAACATAGTTATACAATTTGGAATCATAAAGTGTAATGCTTCTGTATGTCTAAACTCTTAAATCTCTAGATCAAAGTTTCTCAACCTCTCTACTATTGACATTTTGGACCAGCTCATTCCTTGTTCTGAGAGTCTGGCTGATGGATTATAGGATGCTTTCCAGCATCACTAGCCTCTGCTTAATGGATGCCAATAGCAGTGCCCTCTTTCTGCACAGTTGTGACAGCCACAAATGTCTCCAGACATTGCCAGATATCTCTTGGAGTGGTAAATTTGCCCTCTGTTTAGCTTTGGCTGCTTTTTAGATTACTTAAGTTCTGTTCTCCTTAACTCATCCAACATTTACAAGCACTTCCATTGTTCTTATATAGGTATGTGCCAAATTTATCATGTCGCAAATATACTAGCACATACTAGCTTTAAGATACAAATTTTCTATTACTGAAGTTTAGTTAGAAATATGTTGAAAGTGTGCATATGTACTTTTTCCAACCATACTGTAAATGTTAGGTAGCATCATAAGAAATTACCATTTTGGGTGTTGAAAAAAAAAGATTAAATATTATAATTTCTGTGTGGTTCTACCTAATGCATGAAGCATAATTATACGAAAATTATTTGAGAAGAAAAAGAGAGCTGCAATTCCAAATATACCCATCTTTTATTGTAAGCATAATTTTAAGTGTATTTTGCTTTCCTTTGCAAGCACTGTTGATTCTAGAAATCTCATGCAGGTAGGTTTGAGGAATAGCAGTCTGGTAGGAGCTGTGAGGTTGAATCTATATATTTTAGCACTGTAGTTAATAATTTGTGCAGCACTTTTAATTTAGAAGGTTTGCCTCTTCTGTGCTTTAAGTGAGGATTGATGGAAATTCTGGGCAGTGGCCACTAAAGCTGTTCATAGAGAGAAGGAGGAGGAGGAAATGAAATCTATCTCTTAAAAATATGTGATACCATATTAAATGTCTGTGATAATCCTCTCATTCATTGGAAAGGATCAGATGGTCCTGGTCAACGAGTCTCAGAACATTAGGCTATTTCCTGCTTTGGCAAGTTCACCATGGGAGGAGACTCATATCTAGAAATGCCTTTTTAAAAAAAGAAATGAAGATGGAGATAAAGAGCACTTTCCAGCACATATAAACAGATAGTTAAAATGCTCTTGCTCCCGTCATTCTTATAAATGTGCTCAAATCTCCACTTACAGCAGTAATGAACCACATCACAATGATGCACCGAAGTACGAAAAATACCTAAAACTTCATTTTAGTCATCAAAACCTTGTTCTTCTTTAAAGTTATTAGGAGACCTATAAAGCGAGTAACATTACCTCTCCTGGATGCTATCTCCCTTCCAGGGAATGTGCTAATGAGCAGTGATACAGAACTCTGGCAGCAGGAGCAAGGAGGAGGAGAAGCCAGAGGGTTGAACAGTAATTCGTTAGCTACATAATCAGCTTCTGACCACTCAGGAGTTGATAATATTGTGAACTTTATAGTTTGTAGCCTATAATCATACCATGAAACTCTTGAAAGCTGATGTAGAATTTGTGAATCAAATGAACAAAGGGGGAAAAAAAAAAACAATGATTACATAAAATACTTAGTTTTCACCAATTCCTGTAATTTCTAGAAATTCCATTTGCATGGTATGCACAGAAGAGAGGTTCCATGCTTGATGTTGGTCCAGGACAAGGTTAACTTTCTGCACACTAATTTTAATTCATTATATATGCCTTTTTTTCCCAGCACAAATGGACCCTCGAGGCCTATCTCCCAGACAAAGTAAAAGTGACAGTGATGATGATGACCTGCCAAATGTGACCTTAGATAGCGTTAATGAAACTGGATCTACGGCCCTTTCCATAGCCAGAGCAGTACAAGAGTAAGTATCACATTCTCAGGATGAACTAAGAATTGCCAAGGTGTTCAATGGATAATGGAAACAGCAGCCTCTCCTGTTCCCCAGACATGTCACCATAGCTCTGAACTGGCACACACACATCCACATCTTTCCATTCAGCCTGATGCTCTTTGGAAGAAGAGTAAGGGAAAAAATGGGGTGTTTTAAATACTTGAAAATTTATGCTTTGATTAGAAATAAGATCTCTGTACTTTTCTCTTATCTCCTATATCCTTCTTGTTAACACTGGGGAAAAAATGTTTTTTGGGTGTCAGTATCCAGTTATCATTATTACTGTTTATACATAACAACCAAGAGAAAATGCAGTAGTATCTTGTTTTGATAGGAAATGAAAGAATACATATTTAAAAAAAAAAATTTGGAAGATAATACGTCAATGCTTTGGAAAATAAAAAGCTTAAGACATTTTTTTAAGAGATCTTTTTCTCTTATTTGGACCATGCAGTTGAATTTTATCCTTTGTTTATTGAGAATAACTTTTTCTATCATTGTAAACTCCAGGTATCTAGAATTGAACCCAAGGATACTATGTAGATTTTTTCTCCAAAATAATTTCCTTAAAGAAGAAGAGAATTTAAATAGCCACCATCATTGCTGACACATACTAAGTTTGCTCAGTGTGATCTTAGTACTTTCCCATGTATTAATTCCTTTAATATTGATTGAGTTCCTACCATGTATTAGGCCTTGAAGTTAAATAATAATAAACATTGGTATAGCCTTTTATAATGTACAGTGTATGTGTATAAAATGAACAATATATCTTATATATAGAGATAAAATATGTATTTTGATGGTGTAGTGGTTAAGGTAGGAGATCTGGTAGCATAGTGCCTAAGGCACTTGACGCTAACCAGAAGGCTGGCGGTTCAAACCCACTAGCTATTCCTCAGAAGGAAGGTTGGGCAATCTACTTCTGTAGTGATACTGCCTGGGCAACCCAAGGAGGGGTTGCTATGAGTTGGGTCTGACTCGACAGCACATGACAATAACAATAGTGGTTAAGGTAAGGAGCTCTGATGGCATAGTGCCTAAGGCATTTGACTGCTAACCAGAAGTTTGGCAGTTCAAACCCACCAGCCACTCCACAGAAGGAAGACTGGGCAATCTACTTCTGTAAAGATTTACTGCCTCAAAAACTCAAAGGGGAGTCTGTATCTACTCGATGGCGTTTAGTTCTTTTTTTTCTTTTTTGAGTGCATAAAGCATTTGGCTGCTAACTAAAATTTGATGGTTTGAACCTACCAGCTGCACCATGGAAAAAAGATGAGGCAGTTTGCTTCTATAAAGATTTACAGCCTTGGAAACACAATGGAGGTTGCTCTGAGTGGGAATTGACTGATGATAATGAGGTTTTTTTTTTTTTTCCTTTAGTTATATGTGTATGCCATGCACACACAGGATATAAAGAAAGAGGATACAAGGAATCTGAAATAAAATTTAGACTCAGAAATATCTGGATTGAAATTCACATTCATGCTCTTAATAGCTGCGTGATTTCTCATAACTTATTTAACCGCTCTGAGATGTTTCTTTAATATAGGAAGAAAATGAAAACACTTGCCTTATTGGACTATTGTGAGGGTTTGATATAGCTACAAGATACAAAAAACGAATAATAGAGTTGTTGGTACATAGAAGGCATTCAGTTAATGATGGAATTTGTGGTATCACTAGTAATAGTAATAATAGTGTGCTAATGGAAGTATATACCAAAACTCATTGCCATCAAGTCAGTTCCAACTCATAGCAGTCCTTATAGGACAGAGTAGAACTGTCCCATAGCATTTCTAAGGCTTTAAATCTACAGAAGCAGACTGCCGCGGCTTTCTCCCATGGAGCAACTGGTGGGTTCGAACTACCAACCTTTTGGTCAGCAGGCCAGTGCTTTGAACCACAATGCCATAAGAGCTCCTTAGTATAAATAGAGAACAACTAGGAGATAGGAAATACAAATGTGGCAAGTTTCATTATTCTACTTTTACAAATGAAGACATTGAGGAGCAGAGAATTTGAATGACTTGTCCAAAGTTATATAATAAATGGTAACAGACATAAAGTTAGGACTTCTAACTCCAAAATGGGTATTTTTCTAAGAGTACATGCAAGATCTGTTACGAATATCTTTCTATTTAACTACTTTTAAAAAACATTTTTTTTTTCTCTTATTTGTTTAAGTAATTGATTATAGTACCTTAATAATCTCCAAAGCAAATGTTAACTTGAGCCACAATAGGCAGTGAACCAAAAGGGTTGTTGAAATTGTATTTAAAATGGTGATAAGGGGAGTTAGTTTTCTCAATCCTGATTCATAGTGATCACCACAGTGATGATGGTTTTCTGTGAGCTAAATCTTAAAATCTAGGATTCCGTTTTCTCATCTGTGAAACTAGCTGAGTGATGTAAGTTTCAATTCTGTGATGGATATTATGTTCCACTTATTATTTAAATAACATTATTTTCTTGCATCAGTATATCATGTTTATGTGTGTATTTATAGACATATATATGTTTCTTTAGCTCATTGTATAAAATTTGGGATTATGATTAGTAAAATCTAGATTATACTTACTCCATTTAGGATTTATATAACAAATGGTGATATTACCTTCTTAGATATAATCATTTTGGGGCTTTTTAATATTATATGATTATAGTGTAATAGTGTATTTTAATGTGCAACTGCTTAATAGCCTCAGAAACTGGGACATCATTTTTAAAATATGTCTCTGATTTGCTTCGTGTGCACATTTTCAAGCCACAATATTTTACGTAAGTGTGCATATGTCTGTCTTTATTACTATTACAACATTTGCATGTGTGTCTTGGTAAATGCCAGATTCATTATTGGTGTAAATATTTTCATTAAGTGATTAGTAAAGAAAACACTGAGCTGTCACCTGGGAAGCCCTAGAATGCCAGGGCCCATCCGTAATTGATTAACCATCATTCAAAGTGCAGTAAAAGTGTAGACACTGAAAGAGCCAAGTTGCTGTTAGATGAAGCAACCTGTTAAATATAGGTGTAGGTTTTATACCTATATTTATTATACCTATACCATTATAGTTTTTTTGTTTAAATCTTATACCTAAATTCATGGAATTTAACTTTTGTTTTTCTTTTTCTTTTATTTTTGTTTACTGGGATTTGGGTGAATGTTGACAGAGCAAATTGCTTTTCCATTCAATAACCTAAATACATTCTGTTTAGTGATATTCACTGCAGTCCCCACAGTGCAACAGCACTCTTCCAACTTCCTGTCCACACCCACCACTTCCCTTCATCCTTCCTTCACATCCCCCCCACCCCACCCCTTTCTAGATCTATCCTTGGACAAACGCTGCCCTCTTGAGCTTGTGTGGTTGATTGTTCTAATAAGTAAATACCCTCCCCGTATCACAGTTCACCTTATAAGCTTTTCTGTCATTATGCAGACTTTTGAGCCACAGGGGTGAGTTCAGTTCCCGTCTTGAAGGGTGTCTAAGGGCCATAATCTCTGAGCTTCCACCAGTCTTCATCAGACTAGTAAACTGAGCTTTTTTCTTTTCTTTTTTAATGATTTTGAGTTTATTTTTCTCTCACTGCAAGACTTCCTATTGTGATTCCTTTCAGAGCAGTCAGCAATGAATGCTGAGTCCCATCTAGGTCTGATCTCAGGGTTGTGGAGTTTGGGCTTCATATGGTTCTTTAGTCCTTTAGGCTAATTGTTTCCCTGCATCTTTGATTTTCTTCACTCTTCTTTACTCTGGATAGGGAGAGACCAATAGTTGTACCTTAGATAGCCAATCGCAAGCTTTTAAGACCCTAGTTGCTACTCATCAAAAGAAGGTGTAGAACATTGTCCTTGTGGACTGTGTTTTGCAAGTGACTTTAGTGTCCCCCCTAACTATGGTCCTGAGCACCCATGCCCAGTGATTCATTTTCTCAGGGCGTTTGGTTATGACTAAGAAGTTTTCATAATGTGAAATATACTGTGCTACATTCATGGATATATTTGCAGCACATAAAAATATATATATAGGTGGAGATATT